CCCTGGATCTCTCCAGGAATTTGTTCTCCCAGTGCTTTCAAACAGGTGATTTATTCCTTCAGAATAACTTCTGACTCCTTGTAATGTGCCATCCCCCAGAAATACAGCGTGGTGGGAGCAGAAGGGGATGGGTGTCTTAAGGAGGAGAAATGTGTTAAAACCCAGGAGTTTTCATGCCATGTACTCCCCCCAGCAGTAACCTGTGCACCAGCAGAGCTCTGCTCTGCAACGCTCCACGTTTCCACGTCGCTGGAGGCAAAGCTCCTTTATCCAAGCTGCTGTTGCTTTGGGATGGTGTTTCCTGGCACTCACTTTGTCCTTTCCTGTGCTGTTCCCCCTGGCTGGGTGCAGCAGAGGGGCAGGGTGTCCTGGCTGCCCGTGGGGAGGGCAGTGGGAGCAGAGTGGAGGAGCTGCCCTGGAGCTCCACGAGGGATCCCGTGGCCGGTGCAGTGACTGGAAGAGGAACTGAAATAACCCCCCAGATGCCACTGGCATTCCCAGCAGTGATTCCCTGTGTCTCCTCTCTTGCAGAAGCTCACCCTGAGGCACGTGAACAGCAACCAGTGCCTGGCAGAGCCGTCGGAGGAGGACAGGCTGGTGCCCACCATGAGGGAGTGCGGGGACGGCCGCTCCCAGCAGTGGCTGCTGCGCAACATGACCCTGGGGGCCTGAGCTGGGCACGGCATCTCCTCCTCCTCCTCTTCCTCCTCCTCCTCCTGCCCTCCTCCTGCCCAGCCCAGCCCTCTCCAAACGCCACCAGAGCCACGGGGCGGTTCCAGGCCTCGGGGTGCCCCTTTGGCTGCTCCAAGAAGCTCCTCTGAGCGTGTGGATGATAAACCATGCGCTGGTGTCACACAGAAGTGCTCAGAGATGGTTCCAGAGGCACCAGCCCGCACCAGTGAGGTGTTGCTGCGTGTCCCACACCACCACAGGGAGGTGGCCCAGCATAAAAAGGCCTTGTGACCCTGGTGGGCACTGGGAACCACCCCCCGAGCTGGGGGTGACGGTGCTGGTGTCCCTTGGCAAGGCCTGGAGGGTGTTTGCTGATCTCTCGTGCCCAGCAGTGGGATCTGACAGCACCAAACTGAGCAGCAAAGGCACCAGGCAGAGCCAAAGCCTTGTGGTTTGTGCCGGGAAAAAACAGGATCTGGTGTTTGGAAAACTGGGCAAAGGCTGCACTTAAAGAAGGAATTCCAGCAGAGGAGGCAACAGCAGAAAACATGGGAATGTGGAGAGGAAGGAGGGACACATGTGGTCCTTCAGACCAGCACAGAGGGAACTGTCCTCTCCATGGGAATGGAACTGTCCTCTCCTTGGGAATGGAACTGTCCTCTCCATGGGAATGGAACTGTCCTCTCCATGGGAATGGAACTGTCCTCTCCTTGGGAATGGAACTGTCCTCTCCTTGGGAATGGAACTGTCCTCTCCATGGGAATGGAACTGTCCTCTCCATGGGAATGGAACTGGCTGGGGCTGGACCTGGGGCTGCAGAGGCAGATGGAGGGACTAAAACTGCCCCTCTGGGACCAGCAGAGCCTGGAGAGCCCCCTCACACAGCAGTGACTCCCTGTCCAGGACACAGGCAGAGCTTCATCCCTGCATCCCCTGCACGGAGCTGGATCCGCTCCCAGTTCTGCTCCCAGAGCAGTGACAGAGGCTGATTTCTCTTTTCTGATGGTTTTGTGGCTCAGTCCCTTTGTTGGTGTGGTCACTGATGGTCCCTGGTGGGGTGTGGGGACAGGTCCTGCCCATACAGGTGACATTTCCCATCTCTACTGGGGACATTTCCTTTGGTGACCACCCAAAATCCATCTGCTGCACTCCAGGCTGGGTTTTTGACAACAGTCTGTGGCTTCTTATTGCTCAGAGGGTTCAAGAGACTGAAATCCCAGGGCAGTGTGATCCCAGCCCGGGGAAGGGGTGAAATGTTTCCCAGGATTTCACTCCCACTCCCTCAAAAGGTCTGTAAATGCACTGGCTCATTAAAAAGGACAGTATTTTCTGTAGAATGCTCTGGTTGGTCTGGATTGATTGTGTCATAAACAGATGTATTGTAAATTTATAGCTCATATTTTCTTGATACATGTCATTAAGTGGAAAGCAGGAGGGTGTTAATTGGGAAGGTGATTGCTGTGCCTGCATGGGGCTGGAGTGTCATGGAGTAACTGGGATTGAAGGCTCATCTTTCAGCCTTCCTTCTCAAAGCAGGGCCAAACTCAACCAGTGCTTGTCTCCAAATCACCCCAGGAGTACAGAATGTGGCTTAGAAGCACCAAAAAAAGGGGGGACATTGTTGTTCTGCTCCGTAGGAAGAGCACCAAAGCACCGTGATCCAATTTAAATAGTAATTTCCAGGCAGGAAAAGACGAGTAAATTGTTTGTTCATCTCTTTCCCCAGGGCTTTGGCCGCTCCCAGAGCCCAGCTGGGGGGTCCTGTGTGCAGGCACTGGCTTTGGGGGCATTGCAGGAGGAGCTGGGGATCTTGGGGTGCCTCCAGTGCCCCCCATGGGACACCCCTGGATGGGAGGGGTGACGTTCCTCGTGCCCTCAGCGCTTCCCTGCCCCATCCCAAGGTTTGCTGGACGTTGGAGCTGGAGGTGATGGCAAAGTGCAGCGACTGCTGGGCTTGGGGGAGCCAAAAAACAGGGAGAAAAGGGTATTTTTATCCCCCCAAAACAGGGAGAAAAGGGTATTTTTCTCCCCAGGATTGCTGTGAAGGTAAATTTTATTCTAAAGTGATCACATTTAAACCAGTAGGTTGTGGCTAAGGGGTGACACACTGTAAATGTCCCAAGGGAGATCATTGCCCCCTGCCCCCCTTGGCTGTGCAGCTCAACATTTACACAGTTTTGTAGAATTAAAACCTGCTGGTTTAGTTTTCTTGGGGTGCATTCGTCTTTTTCCAGATTGTTTTTATCTGGTAAAGGGGTTAGCTGCTAAAAACCCCGAATTTCCACCCAGTAACTGCAGTTTTAGGGCTTTATTTCCACGCTGAGGGGTGGAAATGGGGCAGCAGAGCTGTTGGGGGTGAGGGCTGAGAGGGGACAGTTGGAACAGGGGCTGCAGCTGTCCCCAGGTGGAGTTTAGGGCTCAGTTTTCCAGAACATCTTAAAGGATTTATAAACATAAATGAGAATTCATCCTCAGGAGACCAAGAGGGAGAGACCAGTTCATGTCTTCGCTGTAGTGGAAGTGATTTCTGAGACCCTTTAGCACAAATATTAATATGTAAGAGCAGATTATTTCAGATTTTACTGTTAATTGCTGGACAAAATTAAGCCTTTTCAGGATTTCCAATTACAAAATGTGACAGTGGT